GCGGTCGCTGTTGCACGACGTGTGCTCAGCGTTATCTTATGTACTCATTTCTGTTCTCTCCTGGTCCATCTGTCCAATGATCTATTTAACAGGTATAACCACGGGTCCATGCCCAGGGGCCTATCGAACGTCTGTTTCAAAAGATCCTCTACGGACCTCCAGAAGCTACGTAACTTCGGGCAGTCCCACCACATGTGGATGTATGTTCATCGGGCTCCGCAACCCCTCCAACAGTCATCAGTATCCAATTTGTGCATTCTATATAGTTTTACTGGCATGGTATACCACCTAAGCATAGTTTTCCATGCCTTCTCCTGGAGAGTGACACATATTGAAACTGTGGCATTCGCCTCCCATATCTCCTGCCAGTCAACTCCCTCCAAGATCTCCGCGAGGTCCATCTCCCATTGATCTGTATATGTCAGTCTTCCCCATTCTCCATTTTCTGCACTAAGGTGGGCATATAAAAGCGTGATCATACCCTTGGGGGCTGCCCCATCTAGGCAAAGCCTCTCATAGAAGGTTAGCCTTCCCAAGGCTGCTGTTTTAATGTGCGGTCTTCTAGCAAAATTGCGAATCTGAACATATCTAAAAAAAGTCCGCAGGGGTTAAGTGATTGCCTTGTTGGAGTTCTGCAAATTGGACGACCTCTCCATTTTGATAGAGCTGGTGGAGCCGTTGTAGTCCGGTTCTTTCTATATTACAAACTTCTCTGGGGGCCATGCAGGCAGAAATTCTCTGTTTCTAAGGATTGGAGTCAAAGGGGAGGGGGACGATACCAGCCCGTATTTGGTATTACACGAGTCTCATATTCCAATCGAGTTGAGTATGGCTGGACAAGTTATCCATATCGCAGGTCTATGTTACTTGGGGACATCAACACCCACCATCATAGACTCAATTTCCACTCACCTTCTCTCTTCTAGCGGGGAGTGCCATATGGCCACCTGGTCAATTGTGCCGCAAGATAGTAGAAATATAGGTTCAGGAGGCCCAACCTCCCTCTGTCTTTACGTCTATACAGTATCTGGAGATTCTATGCCTCTTGTTTTGCCAAATAAAATCCCCTATCGATCTTTGCAGAGGAATCAATTGAGTTTTTGTGACTCGGACGGGCAATGCTTGAAATAAGAGTAGTATGCGTGGAAGGATGTTCATCTTCACAGAATTGATCCGACCTATCCAAGAGATAGGTTTATCCGTCCACTTGTCTAGGTCTCCCATCAATGCTCGAAGCATGGGAACGTAATTAGCAAGGTATATACGTCCGGGATCTGCTGTCAAGTGAATCCCTAAGTACTTTAGGGAGTCTGTTTCCATCCGGATTTGGTAGGTCTCCCGAACTGTATCGGCCTCCGTGAGACAGACCGGAAGAGCACTGGAATTCTGGATGTTTGCCTTGTATCCTGATACCATACCGTATTCTGTTATGACCTCCTGTAGTGCCGACATTGATTCCGTTGGTTTCGTAGCGGTCAGGAGGACATCGTCCGCGTAGGCCGATACTGTAAATTCTTTGTCACCCACCCTAACACCTCTAATGTTCGGATGCCGATGTATCGCTTGTAGCAAAGGCTCCAATGCCGATACGAAGAGGAGGGGGGAAAGAGGGCACGCCTGTCTGGTTCCATTGTATAGCTTAAAAGGGTTCAGTGGGGCTCCCGATATCTGCACCTGTGCCCACATTGTGGTACATCGCTCTCGTTATCGTTAAATATCCTTCCGGGAAGCCCATACTCCTCAGTACCCGGAACAGAAATTGCCACCGGATCCTGTCGAAGGCCTTTTCTGCATCTGTGGATACCACTAGTGTGGGTGTCCCGGTAGCCACTTGTTTCCAAATCCAATCTATATTCCTCCTAGTATTTTCAAACAATTGCCTGCCTTGAATAAAACCGACCTGGTCTGCATGAATGAGCGAGTTCAACAACGGGTTCAGTCTGTTTGCTTGTATCCTCACCAGAATCTCCAGATTGTGGTTAATTAGCGATATGGGCCTGTAATTTTCCGGATGAAGTGTATCCTTTCCTGGTTTGGGCAGTAACATGATGGTAGCCAGAGACATGTCCGGGTCCAATTGTCCTCCCTGCCGTAGGTTATCAAAAAGTCGTACCAGTTGAGGTGCGAGCTCCTCCATGAAGGTTTTATAATATGTACCATCAAATCCATCCGGGCCTGGTGCTCTGTTGCCTTTCAAACTCGAGATAGCTTTGTTCACTTCGTCTTCAGAAATATCAGCCGCCAGATTACTTACTGCCTCTCCGCTCAATCTGGTCATCCCTAGGTTGTCCAGGTATTGAAGTATAGGATCCTCCCCATGGGGACTTCTGTCTGGTGTGTGGTTGTACAACCTTTTATAAAAATCTTCGAAGAACCTAGCTATCTCAGCGTGTTTCGATTTTGTCGTACCGTCAGGATGTCTGATGGCTGTAATGTGGGACCGTTCCTGCCTGGGCCGAAGCATCCTAGCCAGAAGAGTGTCCATTTTGTTAGCCTTTTCAAAGTATGTCCGTTTTGACCAAACCATGGATCTAGCCGTATCATCTAGTAATAGTGTATGGATGCCTCTTCTCACTGCTTCCAGTTGCCTGTAGGTTCCCTCATCTGGCACAGTTTGGTGTTTTTGTTTGAGGGTTCTCAGTTGTCCCAGTAAGGTCTCCAGCTTCTGGTGTTTAATTTTCTTCCTTCTGGTGGCTAATTTGATCAGGGTCCCTCTCATAACCACTTTGTGAGCCGCCCATATCGTGCTCACGTTTATCTCCGGGGTGATGTTCAATGTACGCACAGGTTGCCCAGTGTGATACACACGTCTGCGTGGTCTGACCAAGATATATTACCCACCTTTGACCCCACTGTTCGAGACACGCCCGACGCATTAGCCAAGATGAGGTCTATCCTCGAGTACGTGCCATGGGGGGCTGAGTAAAACTAATAGTCTTTATCACCCGGGTGGTGAGCTCGCCATATATCTACCATCCCCGTTTCAGCTAGGAAATCTTTAAGTAGCCGATCCTGACTGCCCCTGCCCTGGGATCTAGGTATTCCATCCCGTGAGCTCCTATCAACAGCTGGGCATAGGGGCCGCATTAAAATCAACCCCCATATATACCATGCCGTGGGGCAGTGCCGAGAGTTTCTCCTGGAGCATACTCCAAAACCTAGAATCCGGTTGATTCGGCGCGTAGATATTTATCAGATCAATGGTATGCGAGTGCAGGGTACCCGAAATGATAACAAAGCGACCCTTTGGGTCTGCCTCCTGAGACGTTGTTCGGAAGGGACAGCTGCTTCTAATAAGGATCGCCACCCCATTACGTTTGCGATGGGACCTGGCTTTATATGAACCGGCATAGGTGTGGTCTCTCAGCCGAAACTTGGCTTGCTTTGACAAATGGGTCTCTTGAACAAATGCTATGTCCTATTTCGTCCTTTTCAGTCAGTGCCTCCTTGGGGTGTTTAGACCCTTAACGTTCAAGGAGGTGATCTTAATCTCCGTCTTGTGATATTTTCGCGTCTACCATATATACCGGTCATAGTTTCTTTTCCGTCTCGCACCCTGTCATGTTCCCGGGAATTCCCCTCGAACCGCCCCCCGCCCCCGCAACCCCCCAGCATAGGATAAAAGACGAAAGAAAGTGGGAAATAAAGAAAATAAAAAATAAAAACAGCATCTGGACTCTGTCCGATGCAAAGTAACTCTGGTCTTACCAATTTCCAGAATTTTGTGGGGAACATGTTCCCACATCCCTGCCACGATCAACGTTGGGAGGAACAATGGGTCCCTGAGCTCCTTCACCCAAGCGCCTCTCCTTAGTTGAAGTGACCTCTGGATTGACCATCAATGTGTTATTTCCCCACCTATTGGTTCCCCTTCCCCTCTCTTCGGTATTTCTGGTTCTGTCAGGGGATCCCAGTTCGGGACTCTGCCTTTCATAGACCCAAATAATTCGGTGGGGGCCTGATCCTATTACCAGGGCTATATCTCGCCGTCTTATTAACATTCGAAAAGTTCCCATGTCTCTCCACCATCGAAGGTGCCGTGGTCTACATCCCATCTCTAGGGAACACACCTTGGGGCCCTTTCACACAGTCCCGGGGTCATCGGTAAGTTAAGTGTACTACATGTGTCCACCATCCCAATATGCTCGTTACCATCTTGCGTCATTGCTCTCCAGCCTACACCAACCCCTACCATTCTGACATAGTTTCCCTGCCTTTTTTGTCTCCTTTTTTTGTTTTTTGTTTGTTTGGGGGGGGACCACGGACCTCTAAGTGTGGGGGAGGCAGGGGGAAGAGATTCCAGTGTATCCCAAGGCGCTTTGTGTGGCCTTGTCTTCCTTGTCCTACTAAGGAAACTTCCTCCCTGATATACGGAGTAGGTCTCCTTGTAAAGGGACACTAAAGTTGGCCTTTATCACCTCTATCCGTTGTCAAAGCCACCAGAACCCTTCCGATGGGACAGTACAGTTGCGTATATATATTCACCCCTTCATGTGGTTACCTTACCCATCAGGTGCCCCACTGAAACAAATAGATTACCTTACAATGCATATCAGGGAAAAAACAGTGTCAAAATTAACTATTAGTCATATTGCATTCGGTACGGGTCCCCAGCATATGAGCTCACCGCTAAGAGGTGCCCCCTGACCAGAGTAACTTAGGAAACAAATTGGGTCTGAAATTATGTGGTGCATATTTCGGTCTGTAGATGTACCGAGTTGGGGTGTAGATCAAGAATATCGGTTCAGTGTATTTATCGTTCTACCCCTTTTTCTGTCTTTTTTCTGTCTTTTGTAAATTTATGTTGAATTTGTATTTTTATGGAATTATTCATTGATTAATTTAAATTTTTTATTGTATTTTACATATTTTTATATTTTAGACTTTGTGCGTAGCTGTAAATCCCTCTCGGAGACTCCTGTATGTGACCTTGTTGGCACTGACTGACAGATGGCCTATGTCGCAGCTCCTGCAGTGTTTTGATCAATCACCTGTTCAAATAAACGCCCTGCAGTCAGCAACGTTGCATTACCTATGGTGGTTACGATAAAATCCTGGACCTATCGATGTCCGAACAGTCACAGGTTATCACTGGAACCCCACCCCACCCATTAATGTTTATTAAAGTAATTCATTTGTAACGGCCGTATCAACACGCTGTATTCTGGTTTTATCCTACATTGATGCTCTGGATCAGATTATTAACTCTTCCAATATGTAGTGTTACATGGGAGTCCGTCTCTGCCAGGAAAATCAAGAGTTAAACACAGTAAAGGAGGAGACCATATTTAAAAGAAGAAAAACTAACACAACAAGAGGACATAGTCTTAAATTAGAGGGGCAAAGGGATAGGCATAAGGCTATCCTAACTATAAGATAAGGCCAGGGACTAATGAAAGTATTTAGAAAATTGGGCAGACTAGATGGGCCGAATGGTTCTTATCTGCCGTCACATTCTATGTTTCTATGAACCATGAGCATATCAATGGGACGTCCACAAATGCAATAACTGTGTATGTCCTGGAGCATCAATGTCCCGAAATTAACTGCTCTCCATTGTCAGCTCCCGAAGGTAAGGTGCCATCTCTACAGCACTGGAGGCAATTACGGTAGCCATATATGACTGGGATGAACCAGGGAGGGTAAAAGTCAACCGGGACTGCCCCAGGCAAGACCCTTTACATCCCGAGAAACGAGGCTAACTTCAAGAATGCCTTTGGAGGCCGCAAAAAAGAAGAACAAAGAGACAAAAAAACAGGTGCTATCCCACTACCCCCAACAGTCCAACTTATACCTGTAATGCTGAAGGGGTACCCCTTGGACCGACCAAAATGAAGTGGATGGTAAGGATAGGAGTAGTGCTTGTGCGCAACGTGAGCATATGAAGCCCCCAACCTAGACACCCCCCACCCAAACAAAGTTCCCAACCCCCCATAAAAACGGGGCCACTTTGGTAAAAAATATATACGATACCACTTGCTGTTAACGGTGGCCTCTAGATCCCGCTTCACGCCACTCTGCCTGAAGGTGGTACATCGCCACACTTGGAAGGTGCTTCACGCCACACTTGGAAGGTCCGGGGGTGGCTGGATCCCAAGGCCCTGGAATAGATGTTTCGGATCTCCTCCTGGTGTAAAGGCGTGCTCGACCATCTCGGAACACCATTAGTTTGAAGGGGAAGCCCCAGGCATGTTTTAGGCCTGCTCCTCTCAACGCCCCAGTTATGGGCCGCCAATCCCTCCTCCGCTGCAATGTCGAAGGGGCCAAATCCTGGCAAAGGGAAATCAGAGCTTCAGCATGCCGGATCGGCTCCTCCCGACCCCTCTTCATCAGAGCCTCCTTTGTTCTGTAATGGAGGAAATTGATTATCACGTCCCTCGGGGTATCAGCATCGGCTCGCTGTGTTCTTCCATGTCCACATATACAGGTACATATGGGGGTATTGTGTTACTCGGACGACATAGCTGAGCAACATATGGAGTATTATACAGTTGTAGCACACATACGGTGAGCAAAATATACTGTGCAAACTCACTTTGTGTATCAAAAAGGCAGAAAAATGCTTACTACCACTACACTTGGTACAAGCTAGCAGAAAAATGATCCCACTCTTAAAGTCTGAATAGGTTATCTGTTGTTTATACTTAGTCGTAAGTGTACAGTCGTGGGAGATTCCCGGATTTGGGGAAGTTCCATTAACTTGGGGTTACCACAGTATATTGTGTACTGCAAGAGTCGTAGCATAGCCTTGAAGCTTGTTTATGCATTATCGTTATTGTAATTCGTCTGGGACAAAATGGCGCAAACATATTATGCACTGAGGTTATTGCTTAAAGAAACATCTATGAAAAACAATATGTTCCATTTCTAATACCTTGTCAGTTTGCAATATCTCTTAAAGACAAAGTACACAGTTTAAGAAATACAACATTTCATTCTAAAACTTGTAATATTTGCATTTGCCCATAACACTGTGAGACTAAATATTTGATATCTGGTTCGATTTCCGTAAGGAACAAACGAAGGTCTCCTCTTTCGGTGATATTCAGATGACTTCTCTGTTTGCTCATAATATGATTTCTCATCTGTGCGTCAGCTCCCCCCTCTCCTCAATTCTCCCTCCCCCCCACACTTTTTTCCCTTCCTTATAGCAATGCCCAGTAGGAAGGCTGAGCTAGGTAGCCAGGGACGTATTAGCCGCGAGGCAAACAAGGCATTTGCCTTGGGCGGCATTTTTCAGGGGGCGGCAAAAAACGCCGCCCCCCAAATGCCCAGGGCAGATGCCTTGTTAGCCTTGCGGCTAACTGACATCCCGGGCGGCCGGCGAGGGAGCACTTCCCATGAGCTGAGCAGTCAGCTCATAGGAAGTGCTCCCTCGCCGGCCGCCCGCCCGCCCGCCAGCGCCGGGCTCTCGCCTCTGCAGCTATTACCTCTGGACCACTACAGAGACTTCCCAGCACTCCCAAAGGTAAGGAGGTTGGGGGGGGCAGCACAAAACCAGGATACACCACTGTAGGTAGCCCACTTAATATTATTAGCCAACAACAATTCTCTCCTTTTCCTTTTTATATGTTTTATTTTCCTTCTTTCTCCCATTCTACAAGTACTCTGCCCCGTCTCTCTCCTATTTTACAAGTACTCTCCTCCTTTATTTTATCCCCTTTTTCTATTGTTCTTCTTTTTTTTTAAAAAACATTTTTTTTTTTTTATCTCCTTTTTAAAAAAAAAAAAAAAATGCTTTTCTTTTACCTTCCTTATGGCAATGTACAAAAGTAAGGCTGAGCTAGTTAGCCCACTCATTATTATTATTATTATTAGCCAACAACAATTCTCTCCTTTTCCTTTTTATATCTTTTATTTTCCTTCTTTCACCTTTTTTTTACAAGTACTCTGCTCCTTCTTTCTCCCATTCTACAAGTACTCTGCTCCTTCTTTCTCCCATTCTACAAGTTCTCTGCTCCTTCTTTCTCCCATTCTACAAGTACTCTGCTCCTTCTTTCTCCTATTCTACAGGTACTCTGCTCCTTCTTTCTCCTATTTTACAAGTTCTCTGCTCCTTCTTTCTCCCATTCTACAAGTACTCTGCTCCTTCTTTCTCCTATTCTACAGGTACTCTGCTCCTTCTTTCTCCTATTTTACAAGTTCTCTGCTCCTTCTTTCTCCTATTCTACAAGTACTCTGCTCCTTCTTTCTCCCATTCTACAAATACTCTGCTCCTTCTTTCTCCCATTCTACAAATACTCTGCTCCTTCTTTCTCCTATTCAAGTACTCTGCCCCGTCTCTCTCCTATTTTACAAGTACTCTCCTCCTTTATTTTACCCCCTTTTTTCTATTTTTCTTCTTTCTTTTTTTAAAAAAACATTTTTTGTTTTTTTCTTTTTATCTCCTTTTTAAAATAATGCTTTTCTTTTACCTTCCTTATGGCAATGTACAAAAGTAAGGCTGAGCTAGTTAGCTCACTCATTATTATTATTATTATTATTATTATTATTATTATTATTAGCCAACAACAATTCTCTCCTTTTCCTTTTTATATCTTTTATTTTCCTTCTTTCACCTTTTTTTTTACAAGTACTCTGCTCCTTCTTTCTCCCATTCTACAAATACTCTGCTCCTTCTTTCTCCCATTCTACAAGTACTCTGCTCTTTCTTTCTCCTATTTTACAAGTTCTCTGCTCCTTCTTTCGCCTATTCTACAAGTACTCTGCTCCTTCTTTCTCCCATTCTACAAGTACTCTGCTCCTTCTTTCTCCCATTCTACAAGTACTCTGCTCCTTCTTTCTCCCATTCTACAAGTACTCTGCTCCTTCTTTCTCCTATTCTACAGGTACTCTGCTCCTTCTTTCTCCTATTTTACAAGTTCTCTGCTCCTTCTTTCTCCCATTCTACAAGTACTCTGCTCCTTCTTTCTCCTATTCTACAGGTACTCTGCTCCTTCTTTCTCCTATTTTACAAGTACTCTGCTCCTTCTTTCTCCTATTTTACAAGTACTCTGCTCCTTCTTTCTCCCATTCTACAAGTACTCTGCTCCTTCTTTCTCCTATTCTATAAGTACTCTGCTCCTTCTTTCTCCTATTTTACAAGTTCTCTGCTCCTTCTTTCTCCTATTCTTCAAGTACTCTGCCCCGTCTCTCTCCTATTTTACAAGTACTCTCCTCCTTTATTTTACCCCCTTTTTTCTATTTTTCTTCTTTCTTTTTTTAAAAAAAACATTTTTTGTTTTTTTCTTTTTATCTCCTTTTTAAAATAATGCTTTTCTTTTACCTTCCTTATGGCAATGTACAAAAGTAAGGCTGAGCTAGTTAGCCCACTTATTATT